GGGGGGGGACAGTGACAGCCACTGCAGCCTCTGCCTGCTGACCGAGTGCAGGTGGCTGACAAAAGCCATCTTCCACCATGTGGGGGACAGGGTGCTACCTGGCGCAGGAGAGGGACAGTGGGGACAGCAGCTCGAGAGGACGGACTGCACCCAGACATGAGATGGGGCGATATGGATGCGGGAGAAGTCTCATTTGGGCCATCTTCCTGGCCTGGCGGTGAGGGCAGCCCGATCCCACATGACCCACAACGGTCTGAATCCCACCCTAAGAGCTGGAACACAGCCCATGTGTGCCCTCGTCCTGATGGGGTAAACAGACAGACGGAGGGGGCATGGCGCGACCACTGGGTGCTTTTCCCCTCCCTTCTCTCTGGTGAGCACACATGCTTTCTTGGAAATGTTTTTAAAAAAGAAGTTGTATTTATGTAAGTTTTATTTAACATGACTTAAGCTTATATTACTGCAAAATAATGTGTGATTTAGTAGCTTATCTTTATGGATGCGGTTGTTTTTAAATTATTTTATTTAACTTTATTTACTTATTCATTTATTTATTTCAATCTGACCAGAGAGGGACAGAGAGAGAGAGAACAAGTCGCCAGGTCCAGGACTCGAACCACAGTTGGCTATGTGGGAGCCCAGCACCCTTAACCACCCACCACCTGCTGGTCCCTACAGATGAGGTTTTATTTAACATGGTTTCAAAATTTCTCCTAGCCCTAAACACAATGAAGTAGCTTAACACAGGCGAAAGGCAGACTTGGGGTGAAAAGGCTTTCAGACAGCAAGGGGGCCAGCGCTTCGACATGCCGAGTACTCTGGGACCCGGGGTGCGTGTGAGGGTGTGCGGGCACTGTGGTGTCTTATCTTTCTGAGTTGTATTTGCATCAAGGTCACAGCTGGCCCAACCATGGTGGTGCAAGTGGGAAAGTGTCACTGCATGGCCCGAGGCCATATGGAGGCTCGGCTCGATTCCTGGGCTCACCTTCCAGGGCCTCATTAGCAGGAGGCTGGCAGGAGGGTCAGGACGGGTGAGACTAACAAGAATACCTCTCTCGCGCTCTCTTTCCCCTCTCGCTCACACATACCCACAAAGAGTAGCAGGAGACTTTGTGGAAAAATAAGGAACTTGGCTATTTGAGAGCAGCAAGCCTCATGTCCTGTGAGCCCGCCCCCTCCAGGCCACGTCTATCCTCTGGACACCTCACCGTCCCCTGCTCTCCTCCAGCCCACTCACACAGCCAGAGTGACGTCCACAGACACATCAGACTCCACTACGCTGCCAGCTGGGAGCTGTGGCGGCTCCCACCGGGATGCGATGTGAGCTCCGTCACACGTCCTGGGAGAGCTCGTGTAAGCTGGCACCCTGTGCTACCAGCCCCGCACACCACTGCCACCGAGGGCCACCGTCAGCTGATGGCTCCTCACTCTACACACACTCGGCCCCGGCATCCCCCACACCCGCTGCCCACCCTGCCTGCCACATGCTTCCAACCCACAACCTTGCTACCTCCTTTCTCATCCCGTCTGTCCCCTGACACCACGGATCTCACTTCTCACCCCCTGAGGTCAGTGATGGTGGCCCTGTGACAATCTCTAGTTCCACACCACGGTCCCCTCCTACTTCCGGATCTCTCCGAGATTTGGCTCTGCGCTGTCCCTGGTGGGGCCTAGGGAACATCGGAGCAAGAACAGCTCTGAAAGGGAAGCCTCACAAGTGGAGACTGGGAGAACCTTCAGACTTTTAAGTTTTTCTCTTGGGTTTTTGCCATAGGGCATGTGCACTCATGGGAGAGACGGAGAGAGACGGAAGGAAAGTGAGAAATCACCTCCCAGGGGGATGGCCACATCAGTCTCTTCTCCTCCATGCTCCTCTTGGGATTTTGGACACGCACACGCATCTGGTGTGATCTTCAAGCCTCCAGGTCTGGGACTCCAACTGTGGTGACCATGTGAGAACCCAATGCCTTAGCCACCACAAAACCTCCCAGCCCGCTTAGGTTTGTACACCGAGAACTATTTTACAGTGCAAATGGCATGAGAACACAGGAACGTCTGCCTCTTACGTACGACTTTGATCCTCACCAGCAACGCTCCTCCGCTTTTGGAAGGCAGTGTGATGGGGCGCAGAGGGCGACCGCGATGACTCTGCCAGGGCCTCGGAGTCGTGGCTTGCTGTACTCCTCACAAACTCCATTGCAGCTTGCAGGACCCTAAGCTGCAGTGCTACAGCCATATCTGAGGACGAGATACCAGAGTGTTCTCGAGACACGTGGTTACTAATTCTTTCCACTGAACTGACTTCTATATATCACGCAGTATCAAAACCACCACCAATGTTTTATTACACACAAATCAAAATTTTTTGATCTAAATGAGATCTTAATGGTAGTAAAAAATTTGATCTGCCTTTAAAACTGCAATTTTAAAGCAAATTTCCAAATGGTCAGTATAGAAATTTCAATAGAAAAATATTAGTTCAGAAGCTTATTTTGTTGACTGATGTCAAATGATCAGCCTTTCTATACACAAGGCAAAAGTTCAAACAGCAATTCTCACATTTTCTGTACCATATTCACCTTTATATTTGTCATTAAAGAAAACCAAACAGCATTACCATTCAACATAAGATTTAAAAAAGTTAACATAAGCTTTTAAAAACTAACATAAAATTCTTAAAAATTAACATAAGCTTTTAAATTCTGCTAGGTAATAAAAATCCATGGCTCCTTTCGATAACGTACTGCCAGCTACTAACCACACTCGACATCACTTTTCTATTTCTCACCATTCGGAAAGGTTTCTTTTTAAAGTCTATGCATATTGTCACAAAACGAAGGCTCCAGCTTTAGTAAAACAGCTCCCAAAGGGGAGAGTTTGGGCTCGAATAACCCCCCAGTCCGTAACAACTCAGCCTTACTTTGCGTCCTCCGGTTTTTGCTGTTCTGAAGGTGGCCCAGCAGCACGATGAGGTCCTCGATCACCCTGAAGTACTGGGGGCCAGCGGAGCTGCAGGCATGGATGGTGACGGCCGTGAACAGCTGCTGGATGTCGCAGGCGAGCAGCCGGTGCTCACTCACAGGGACGCTGCGGGAAGAGAAAGGGTAGCGTACAGCCTCCCCAGTGCCTTAGCCACTATGCCACCTGCTGTTCCCAAAAACACCCTTCTTAACCAAATTTAGTTCTGAAAAATGTGCCCTCTTTAAATTAACCTAACAAGTTTTGTAGAAAAAAATTCTTAAGTTTCAGGAAAAACCAGATGTAAGTAGCCTGTAACTGAGGCCGGCCGGGGCCAGTGCTGGGATGCCGCAGGTACCTGACGAAAGCCGGGCTGGACTGAGTGCCAGGGGCCCCACTCGAGCCACCGGGTGATCTCTCTCTCTCTCTGTTTCTCTGGTGAGTACATAAGCCCTGTAGCAAAAAATCTCTCAGATAGATAGGTAGATAAATAAATAAAGCAGCCTATTACTAAAGTTTTTTACCCTTCCAAAATACTTTTCAGACGTATCTGAGACAAACATGGAAAACTCACTTCTCCCCCAGCCCGTTCAGGGCCGCGATGGTGTTGCACAGCACGTGGAGCAGCCCGTTGTCCAAGAGCAGGTCTGCTGCCTTCGAGCAGGAGTTCAAGACCCGGAGAAGGAGTAGCAGGACACTGTGCACGAGCATGTGGTCACACAGGGAGGTCTCTATCAGTCCCAGGAGAGGGACGACACGCCACTTCTGAAAAAGCCCCATGTTTCTCACATCTTCCAGGTCAAATCTGTAATAAATAACATGTTTTAAAAGCACTGGTCACAAACTAAGCATGAATGACTAAGGGCCATTTTGCTAATCTGAATTTGAAGCTCTGAAAAACAAATTTTGGAGTAAGGATTCTTAATATATAATTTTTAAGATTATGGATCCTCTCCAAGAGTAAGATCAAAGTTGTTGCAAGAAGTCTATCCCAGGCTAACACACAAATATTCGGGTGAGATTCTCACACAACTGTGTAGTTTAAGAGATTCACTTCAATTTTCCCACGAGCCCTCTGTCTACAGAACCTGACTTCGGGGCTAGCTGACAAGTGCCCAGGAAGATGGGCATGGTCACTTACAGGCTGAATGCAGGCAGAGAGCTGATGAAGACGAGTGAACAGGAGTCAGTGACCCAAAGCTATTTGCCTCTGTGAGGGGCTGAAATTATTATTTTAAACAATTTTATTTATTTATTTAAAACTTATTTTGATTATTCTTTTTTTTTTTAAATATTCAATCGCTATACATCATTTGGCTTGTAAAGAAAATTTACCCAACATGAATTATTACTTTTTAGAGAGATTTTTTGCTATAGGGCACGTGTGTCAACCAGAGAGACAGAAAGCAGGAAATCACTCCTAGGTGGGTGGCCACACCACAATTCCTTCTCCATTCTCCTCTCAGGATTTTGAGCATGCATGCACACATGCCCACTGTGAGTTTTAAGTTGCCCCGGGGTCCCGCCGGAGGGATCTGCACACAGGAGCCAGAGCCCCCTAGTCCCACGGGAGGGATCTGCACCCAGGAGCCAGAGCACTAGGTCCCACGGAGGGGGATCTGCACCCAGGAGCCAGAGCACTAGGTCCCACGGAGGGGGATCTGCACCCAGGAGCCAGAGCACTAGGTCCCACGGAGGGGGATCTGCACCCAGGAGCCAGAGCACTAGGTCCCACGGAGGGGGATCTGCACCCAGGAGCCAGAGCACTAGGTCCCACGGAGGGGGATCTGCACCCAGGAGCCAGAGCCCCCTGGTCCCGCGGGAGGGATCTGCACCCAGGAGCAGAGTGCACAGGCCCTGTTCAGATCACTCCGGGAACCTGCCTCAACGACACGCGGGCCATGAGGCTTTCCAGTACCACGCTCCAGGCCACATCCATCGCCGCCCCTCCTTCGACACAGTGTTGTTTCTAGTCTCTAGCTAGTAAATAAAATACAACTGAAGTTACATTAGAAAGATTTTCACATGGAAAATCATAAATCAATTCATCTAGAAAATGGGTTTCAGATTTTTTTCCTTAAGATGGTCAAACACTTTAGCTAAGAGTGAGTTCCCTGCATTTTGCATTTAAGACAAGGGTCCCTTGGGACCAGCAGTTAGTGTAATGGCTATGTCACTGGACTCCCATGTAGTTGACCACAGTTTGAGTCCCAGACCCAGGGGCTTAAACTCACGCCAAAAAAAAAAAAAAATGATGAAGACAGGTCTCCAGTTATGGCGGAGGGAGGAGCACACTTACTCTTCATCCAGACCAATCCGCCGCCCGAAGAACATTTCGGTAAAGCATTCTAACAATTCTTGAGTGCCCCGATGAAGGTACAACTGGTTGGCTAGCAAGGAAAAGCCACGATTCTTCAGAAATTTGTCTTTTTGTTCCTTAGACGCCCTATTAAAATATGCATCTAATAACTAAAGAAAAATGTAAGACAATTTAGGTTCGGTATTAGAATGTGCTGTAACATACACACCAGTCACTGTAACATACTGTACTGTATGTAAGGTAGTAAGCTCCTACATATGGAAGCCCATAGGACAAATGGCACTCTCATGGCATGAAACTGAGCTGCCTCTGACTACCGCGAACTGTGCGTGAGGAGGCGAGCTCAGAGACCCTGTACGTCCGTGATGGGGCTGCTCGGACCCCTGCAGACAGCAGCCTTAGTGGGGTGTGTGGGATGCCGGTGCCTGGCCCCGAAGGGAAGAATCAGTGCCTCGGCCTGTCTCTACCCTCGCAGCTCACTCACCCTGAGCACCAGCCTGCATGTCCGCCCTTCTCCAGCTTCCTGAAGGGCGTGTGACCCCCCACTGTAACCTCCCTCCACGCTCCAGGTGGCAGCTAGCCAGCCCAGGTTTGCAAGTGAAACGGGAGCTCAGTAATCCTAGGTCGACCTGCGAGAGCTCGAAGCATACCTCGATCCCGACAAACTAAGGAAAATGGGAGCCTCCAGAAGACCATTCTCATACTAGGTTGACAGCCGGCCCACCCGTTCAGTAATGCTCAGTGCCACACAGCACGACAGGCTGCCTCAGGGAGCTCCTGCTTCAGCACAGGCAGCAAAACGGACCACAGCTGGGTACACTGGGCTGTCGGAAAAGCTGCGACCCGTGTATGCAGAGAGAAGCACCGAAAAATGCATCTCGGTGTCGGACAGCCCAGTAAATAAGAATTGGGGGAGATAGAAATACCAGAAATAAGGTAGCCCCGTATAAGTGGCCAGTAACACGCAGTATTTATTCCTTATATTTTACCTTATTCCATAAGGAATTCAAGAAGCCTACCAAAAAAAGTTTACATAATAAGCTTAAATAAAGAAAACTAAAGTAATTTAAAAACAAAAAAGTACATAGATAAATTAAAAAGATAATTATAGGAACCCGGCCCATAGTCTGGAGCCAAATCCTACATGCTGACTGCGGTTCAAGTCCTAGCTCTGGCAGCTTGAGGGACATGGGAGGCAAGTGTGTGTGCACCCCAAGTCCCAACAAGATGGAGAAACGAAGGAGAAGGGATTGTGGTGTGATTGTACCCCACTGAGGACTCCTTTATCCCTGTCTCTGTCTCTCTCTCTCTGGAGAGTGTATGTGCCCCCTGGCAACTTAGAACAAAAAGAAAAAAGGTAATCACAAATAAATAAGGTGCAGGGCTAGAAGGTGGTAATGTCGGTACGGTGATCGGGGTGGCCGATCTAAACGCTGACGTCTGAACTGAGAACTGACATAAAGGACTAAAATCGGGGACTGTGCTGAAGGAGAGGATTCCAACGATCCACATGTTCCCTGTAATCTTTGCAAAATAGACTAAGTATTCAGATATATGTATTTATTGGTCAATTTAAAAACCACATTGAGGGGACCAGCACATGGCATGGTGGTTAAGGTGCTGGACACTCCCACATGGCTGACCACGGTTCAAGGCCTGGACCTGGTGGCTTGCTTTCTCACTTTCTCTCTCTCTCTCTGTCTGTCTCTCTGTGTCTCTCTCTGGTCAAATTAAAAATGAATAAATATGTAAACTTAAAAGAAATAATTCTTAAAGAAACCACATTGAAATGAATCAATATATGAAGAAGGATTTAAATTGGGTAACGTGCAAAAATATGAGAAGTAACAAACTAGGAGTTCATTTTTTCTGAGTATAAAATAAAGCTTTAGGCTATCTTTAGCATATACACCCATGCACTTTAAGAACACAATGTGCACTTTTACAGTGGCATCATCTGCCTGGATGATCTTGTCCAGCACATCTTCAAGCATAGCGTCCGGCAGGGTGAGAAGAACTCCACTTACGAGTTCATACAAGCCACAGCAAATGGGGACCAGGCAGTCCTCCATCACACTGAAACAGAGACCATGCAGCTTAGCGACACGAGACAGGGTTTCCTAACGAGCACACACACTACCCTCCTACACCGGCAGTGTTCGCGCCGTCGACTCGACACGACTCTGCCCCACATCTCGCCGCCGAGTGCTGTGCGTGCTGTTTAAACTACGCAAAACCAACTCCCGAAGTCGGCTCCTCGGGGCAGAGACCATGCTTCAAGTGCTCAGTGGGCCTCTGTGGCTTCTGCCTCCTGGGACTGGCTGCATGGTGAGATGCGTCCACACCAGCAGTGCCACCTGCAGTGTGACTGGGACAATAGGAGGTCCCACGGTTTCTCTCAGCCGACAGGTTTTTTTCCAGGCAAGCCCATGGCCACGGTGATTAAAGTGGCTGGACCCCACGGTCAGCTCCACTGTTGAAGTCCTGATCGCAGCAGCTTGAAAATGACACCAGGTGCATGTGTGTGCGTGCCCAAAATCCCAAGAAGAGAATGGAGGAGGAGGGACTGCAGTCTCCCCGCCATCTCCCTGCGGGGGATTTCTCTCTCTCTCTCTCCCTCTTCCTATGATGAGCACACACATCCTACTACAAATTAAAGGAAAAAGTCATTTTTCTCTAATAACTGTAAGGAATTAAAGCATAAGAGAGTATTTTTCCTCTAAGAGTTATTTATGGAATAGCTTTTGGTTATATAAAGAATTCAATATGATCTAATATTAAAATAAGGAAAAAAGCACTTTCCTGTTTGTCCCTAACACATGTGCTGCATTGTGAGAATGAAGACACTTTTAGGAGCAGAGAGTCTTCAAAGAACAGGCACGATGGCGGGTGGTGGTGCCCGAGCAGACAATACCTGTGCGCGCCGGCAGCCTGGCCGTAGTCGGGCTGGTAACTGAGGGAAGCAGCCAGGTTCTCCCAGCCCTCAGGGGTCCCGTCGACAGGCCTCGGCCGCCAGCCCAGGGCTGCAGACCCGGCCAGTGCAGGGAAGGCGAGGCCGAGGCTGGCCATGGTGCTGTGGCTGCGCTGGAACGAGGCCAGTCCCTTGAGGTGGTCGGGCCGGCGCGGGCAGGACTCGTCCCCAGGGCTGTCCTCGTCTGCTCTGGGCTCGGGCCCTGCGTCTCTAGGATCCGCTCTGACGGCTGGAAAGCCTCGCGTCCCCGGGGAGACACTGGCCGCGGTGAGGGCTGAGGGGACGGCGCCCATCTCACAGACGGTTCCCGCAGAGTCGCAGCTACTGAGGGGCCCGTCCTCTCGGCCTCTGCTCGACGTGCTGGGACCCTCCACAGGCTCCTGTCTCTCCGACTGGTGAGCGGCATAGGTGTCTGCGGGATCTGGCAATCTGTCCAGACTGCAACCCAAGCTTCCGGTCAGTTTCCATGGTTCCGTTCGAGGCGAAGAAACAGGAAAGGCCGGTAGGCTGTGGGAACGGGGCAGGAGGGTGGCCGGCGGCGGGCCCGAGCTGGCGGAACCACGTCCTGTAAGAGCAGATACAGGCACTGCTGGAAACTGCCCGCGGCCACCGCTGCCCTGCTCCCTGAGCAGCAGCCACTCACTCGGACCGGGGAAGAAGCCACTCAGGTTCGTTTTCCTAGCAGCTCATTTTTAACTATTTTTAATTAAAGTGTTCCAAAAACAAGTGTCTTTTCCTGCTTCTTTAACAAAATACATTGTTGACCAAAGGACTCAAAAGTAATTAACTGCTCCACTGTAGTACAATTCAGTGAGTTAAGTGAAACGTGATTTACCCAAGGCCAGCTGTCCCAGTACGAGGAGGACTTCACAGCTAGACCTGTGTTCACCCCAGCGTGATTCTCACAGCGAGGTGCCCTTAGGTGATGCTTAATTTTGCCTAAGGAACGTTAGTTTCTGCAAATGCATGAGGCCCAGAATACCTCATCTGCAGGGGTTCTGGAGGGCTGAAGTGCGACCACCTTGAGCCGCCCCTCAGTGCCTGGCACAGAACAGGTGCCCAGGGGAAGGCAGCCCTGGCTGTGACGAGACAGAAGGGCCCTGTCTCCCCAGCGGCTTCCGCGCCACTCCCTGGGGCTTGGGGTGGGAAGTAGCGGGGCTCTGTCTTGCCACATCTCTCCCCAGTACACTGCTTCTACATCCTGTGCCGGAAGGCCTGGCAGTCACGGTCATCCTCTGCCACGGGACGTGGGCACGCAGCGCCAGAGGTGGCCTGCGTGCCTGGTAGAAACGCACGCGCGGTACCACCCCACCTTCCACACAGGGCAGGGGCACCCACGAGTGCACAGGCCGTCAGGGGCTGACCCGGGGCACTGAGGAAGGGGCAGGCGCTGACTGAGCTGCCACGGGATACCGCCTGCAGCAGCCCATGGCTGGACGGCTGCTAGTTATTTCTGGGTTTGGCTGGAGGGCTAAAACTGGCAGAGAGTCTGCTCAATAGACCTGGAGAAGAAAATGGGAGTATAATTGTATTTGAAAATGTTTCCGAGTGACCCATAAGATTTTAAAAAATAGACATTTCTTACAAAAGTTCTGCAAGAAAATCTAATTGAAACATAGCCTTGGGACCAGCAGTTGGTATAATGGCTATGTCACTGGACTCCCTGTAGAGCCGACCACAGTTCGAGTCCCAGACCCGGAGGCTTAAACTCACACAGGGCGCATGTACGTGCGTGCCCAAGATCCCAAGAGGAGAGTGGAGGAGAAGGGATTGTGGCATGGCCATCCCCCTTTGTGAGTGATTTCTCACTTTCTGTCTCTCTGTCTCTGTCTTTCTGGAGAGTGCACACACCCTATAGCAAAAATGTCTCCAAAAAGAAAAAAAAAAAGCCTAAGATATTATAATAAAAGACCTTAAAACGTGCTACTGGAAAACAGAACCAGAAAGGCAGAGGACAGCGCTCAGGGAAGGAGGGAGGGCTGCCAGCTCGCCGGGAAACCACACCTGCGCTTCGCCTAGGACATGGTGTGTGGTGGTGGTGAGGAGGTCTGTTCAGAGCTCAGCAAGAAGAAAGAAAAGTACTGCAGGCTTGAAGGTTTGAAGTCATGCTTGCTAGGGAAGGGAAGGGGGAAGCGGTTCTGAGCACAGAGGGGAGAGATGGGCCGGCATGTGAGGGCGACTGGGCCAGGCCAGGGGAGGGCTTTCAGGTAAAGCGCACCAATGAGCTGAGGGAACAGGGGTCTGAAGACGTGTCAGAGAACGACCGAAGTTACTGCTAACCTCTCCGATTCTACATGGGAAGAGGGAGACAGAGGTAAAGGGACCTTGGGAGAGGGATGAAGAAGCCAGAGGAGGGGCTACTAGCGGACTGGGAAGACAAGTGGCCTCTCGCCTGTGCACTGTCAGGGCTCCCTGAAGGACTCTGCCACCCTGGGGGCTGCAGAAGGAAAGCTGCCATGAAATCCCGGAAAACACGGGGCGTGACATGCAACGCTTCGGAGTGACCATGTGACCTCACAGGAGAGCGCACGGTGGTGTAGGGCCTGCAGGGGACACGGACGTCTCCAGGGCAAGGAGCTGCCGCAGGAGTGTCGCAGGACGTAGTCCAGACGGGTTCAGGCGAAAGGACAGCGTAAGACACTAAAAGCTTTTGAAGAAAATCGGAAATAAACCAGAAGCTCAATGTAAGACAACGACCATGGCAGGACAGGGTGCCAGTGCCAGAGGGCACGGCCAGGCCATGGCTCTGGCGACAGCTCTGTCCTCATGGCCTAGACTCCTGCCAAGCTCCAGAGCGAGTTACCGGAACTGCGAGGAAGGGCACGCGGCTCCCTCGACGTGCCCGACTGCGATGTGTGCCCCTCCATCATTTCGCCCCAGTAGCAGGTCGCACCACTTGCTGAGACAGACACGCTCTCCCTACCCACGGGCCCCAGGGCCATGACGGCCTCACTGCAGCTCCTACCTTCCGGAGGTGACGCGGCGAAGCTGGACGGGCTGAGGGCTGTGAGCCCGGGGCTGCCGAGGGGCTGCGCCCCACTGCTGGAGTGCCGCAGGGACGCGATGGACCGCACCTTCTCCTGGAAGATGTTGCCATCTAGGGCAAAGCAGTTTAGGAGACATTTTTAAAAAGGACAAAACAAAAATATAACTTAAAAAAACAAATCATTAAATACACATTTTGACAAAAAGATGTTCAAAGAGAAAAAATAGGGCACCCTTTGCACTAATGCACTCCTGGCGTGTGTACTCATGCACGGTCTTCCTACGGACGGCTGCTCTCAGCGCCACGCGCTCGCTTCTGCCTTCTCTGCCTTCCCGCCGGATGGGCAGTTCCTTCTATGCTCTTCCAGGGCACTGTGCCTCCCTCGAGTCCTCATGGCCTCTCCGAGGAGGCTGCTCAGCAGCTGCCGCTCAGGAAAGACTGCCGCCCCTCCTCCTGTACTCTCAGTATCTAGTGTGACCCAGGCCAGCACTTCCAGCTCCATCCCCCTCTCTGAGCTTCACACGCAGGAATTCGGCAGCTCCACCTCCTGGGTGCACCACTAGTGCAATGAACCTATACCCAAACCGCCCCTCGGCCAGACACGCACTCCTGTGGGCTCTGGCTAGTCTGGGAGAAGCGCCAGGCTCTTGGCGTAGCAAGTCGGTCACAGCCCTGCTCACTTGTGCTCCGTAACTGCTCCCCACGACCACAGAACCACAGCGCAGCTTCACTGGCTCCTCTGAGCTGCTCACAGGGCCCTCAACGCCGTCCCTGATGGCCACCTCGTCACCCTCAGCTCAGAGCTACCAGAATCCTCTCTTGAATATCGATTCCTGCTCAGGGCCCCCAGGGGCTTTCTGCTGCCCCTTACCAAGCTAGGCAGAGCCCACACTCTTGTCTACAGCAATGCCATGACCGGTCACTGGCCTCCATTCTCCCTGGCTCTACACCCACCCCAGCAGGCCGGTCATCCTTGAGGACATGAGCAGTCTCACAGCCTGCCCCAGGAAGTACCCCGCCTGCACCAGGCCCTGCCCACAGCAACCAGGGTGGACTCTGCCTCTGCACTCCATGAGGCTGGCACGAAGGCCTCTCTCTCCCCTCCAGCAGGGCGGACGTGCTGAGAGGAGGGCCCACACTTCCTTCTCTGGTAGCAACCTGCTCCCAGGATCTTGCCCCACAGGATGTATCTAGTAAACGCGCCGAACGCACGAGGCGGGGCCGGTCTCGGGCCATGAACCCCGACAGGTCGGGGAGCCAGGAGACTGAAGACGGTGCTAAGAAAACCACCAGCAGAGGCTACTGGGATCTGGGCTAGATGGTGACGACCGAGGTGCAGGGAACATGGGACGGCGAAGGGGCCGGCACCAGGCCAGCTACCTGCCTTCTCTCTGGCACCTCCCGCGGCCTGCGGCTCACCGGCTTTATGAGGGTTTGTGCTACTGGCTCCCCAGCTCTCTCCGGGGCCTCTTTCCTCCCATGTTGGACGTCCTTAGCTGCTCGCACTGACCACGTCCCCGTCGCTCACCCGGGCGTGCAGTACTCTCAGCAGCAGGTCTGGCCGCCACTTCCTCTTCCTTCCTCTCTCTGAGTTTCCTTCCCTTGCTGGCCTCATCCGGCTCAGGGCTTCAGCTCGCTTCTGTAGGGGCAGCCCCTAAGAAGCTCTCCCACAGCCTAACCCTCCTTTCCAACCAGCTGCTGGACACACACAGCAGGGACAGCCCTGGGGCCCCTCGAATGAGCAGGCATGAGAAAAGCAGCCACCCCACTCGTCCTCCACAGCCCTGGTGGGCGGCATCCCCGCCTGACCTTCCCGGCCGGCTGCCGAGCGCCGAGCTCAGACCATGGCCTGGGCGCTGACCCTCGCGGCCAGCTACAAGGCACTCACATCGCAGTCCTTTGCTCAAAACAAACACGCACATGAAACCCTTTCAGTGACCTCTCCCGCAAATACGAGTTCACTCCGGTGCCACATTAGAGGACCCATCTACTATGACCTTGGGGGAAGAGATGGCGGTCTTCAAGTGCACTCACTGTTTTAGACACCCTACACAGGCGAAGGCCATGGCCTCCCCCTCCCCAGTCCTCCCATAAGTCACTCTCTCATCTGGAATCTAACCTGCCAGTCTCCCTGTCAAAACTGCCTGATATTTCCGCTGCAAGCACCGGGCCTTGGTGATCTGCCGCACGCTCGCCTCCGCAGCCCGGCCAGGTCCTCTCTGCACACGCGAGTGCATGTCCCCTCGCCTTACTGTGTCGCACCGCCCTGTGCCAGCGTCCCAACTCCGGGGGGAATGGAGCAGTTTCAGCACAGAGGGGCCATTCCAAACACATCAAACAAATGGGGATCATGCGGAAGGAAGAGCCCACTGTAGCAGAGGGGATGCTGCCTACCTATGTGCAGGGAGAAGTAGAAGCCGGTGGGGTTGTGACAAACGTAAGTATTAGTGGGAGGGTGAACTGCTAGAAGGAAATTGAAGATAATCGTCAATAATTCCAAGTCTGGAGGCGATCCAAGGACTTCTGCTATAATTTTCACAAACGATCTACAAACCTCTCGGGGCATGGAGGTGAGCTGCCCCTCTTTGTGTTCCTGAAAAACAGAGATAAAACTTCAGATTTAAAGAGAACGGCCCGCTAACATCTTTCATTTAGGCAAGATACTCTTTGTAATACAGAATTCCATTACTTTATCACTCTAGTCCGACCATATTGACTGCTTAGCCAGTTTTTCTCCATTCAAGCACTTCTGCTATTAAAGTTCACAACAACTGCTGGTAGTTTGGTCCCAGCCTACTGTTTCCCCGTAAGGGCGTCTGGGTCACATGGGGACTCAGACTCAGCCGCCGGGCGCTCTGGCTCCCCGCCCCAGCGGCCGTGCGCCCGCAGGTGTGTGTTGACACCATCAAGCCTCGGCTGCCCCATCTGCAGTATGGGAACAACACTGGCGCTTCTGCGCTGGGTCATTAGAGGGTTAAATAGGAAACGGTTGGAGTCAGGGCCCACGGACACAGCTGCCACTGTATCGGTAGTCACCGCTGCCGGTGCCGCAGTGGGGTCGGGAAGAGCAATTTCTGTCTTTCTTTTTTAAATATTTAATTTTACTTATTCATTCACTTATTTTAATTTGACCAGAGAGACACAGAGTGAAATAGAAAAAGCAGGCCGCCAGGTCAGGGACTTGAACCACAGTCGGCTATGTAGGAATCTTGAGCTTTAACCACTATGCCACCTGCCAGCCCTAGAAAGGCCAACTCTGATGGACAAACCTAGTGACACTTGCATGTGCCCCCGTTACCTAACTCTCTCTCGCAGCAGTTCTGTGAGGTCCCCCCTCATTTCTAGAATACAAGGCTCAAAGAGGTTGTGGGTGTAGCTCCACCCACTCAGAACCACGAGCATGGACCGCTCTGAGGCCAGCGCAGACCTCGGAACCCTTCCTCTTGCGTCCCACCGCCCGGTGCGAGGGGACCGGGAGAAGGCAAGTCCTCACTCAAGTAAAGGCAGGGCGAGCTTTGTAAAAGAGCTGCTTTCTTTCTTCCATGCGCCAGAAAAGCAGAGACAGAGAGAAAGAGAGAGAGAGAGAGGCCAAAACAGAGCAAGTAAGTGTCGGCACCTCCAAGAGAGTGGACCACGGCGGCCCCAGCTTCGGCCAGCCGGGACCACGGCGCACGCACCTGGCACACTCAGTGCTCTCGAGACGGGCAGAGCCTTCCCTGGGGGCCGGCCTCGCAGAGCATCCCGGGTCGCTGCTGCCCTGCCCGGCCCCACGTCGGCCTTGCTGCGGGTTTAGCCCAAATGCCATGACAAGCTCCTAGTGCCACGGAAGGCACCGAACACACAAAACAGCATCCATTCTACGGGGACGTCTGTATTTACTGGACTCAGCAAATTTCAAATGGATGCCTTAGACATTAAAAGCGACAAGATCACGTAGGAAGGAGTCTAACACACCGCCCCATGGATGGCAGGCCATCTGTAACAAGGGAAGAACGTCAAAGCCGCAGCGCAGACACGCCTGTGGCTGTGAGTCAGGCCCAGGACCAGGCTGTCCCGTCTGTTTCTAATGAGCAGCGAGGGGGAGGGGATGGAGACGAAGGTATTTTCTCCAGGGGCCTGGCCAGGCCATGGTCCATCACAGTCAGGCTCAGCTCCCAGGTGTGTGCCTCCACGCCCTGCCTGCTCAGGCCGGTCGGGGAACTGGGCCCAGGCCCCCAGTCACCTCAGCCTCACATGGCAGAAACCCCCCACTTGTGCCACAGTGGCTGGGCCAGTGCTACTTTTCAACACAATATTTTAGATATAGTTTTTTTTTTAATCTTGTAAGAATTATTCTATTTAACTTTACTTATTTATTTATTTTAATTTGACCAGAGAGGGACAGAGTGAGCATGAGGGCGAAACTGAAAGTGAGAACGAGAGAAAGTGAGGAAGTAAGCCGCCAGGTCTGGGACTTGAACCATGACTGGTCATGTGGGAGCCCAGCACCCTTAACCACCAAGCCACCTGCCAGCCCCTAGATATAGTTTTAAGATGCTAATTTGACCATATAAAATAGGCCTTATACGAACTCATACTTATGGGCAAACCATCTTCCAGGACCTCACCCTTCTTGGGAGCTCTGTTTTTCCTTCCCTCTCCTTTAATAAATTTCCTACTTTGCTAATAAATTCCCCCTTTGCTATACCTAAAAAAAAAAAAAAAAAAAATCATACTTACCAAAACAATACATACTTCTAGGTTGTTATTCAAGAAATGTGGAAGAAGTCAAAATTCACCGACTACCCCTGATAGTTAAGAGGTTATGAAATTACTGCGCCGACTAAAGGAGGCCCTCCAAGGTTAACAGTCACCCTTCCGAGACAGTTAGAGATGGAGAGTATGTGAAGACCAAGATGGAAGCCAGCAGTTGGAGAACTGTTTGCTGACAGAAGAGAAACTAAAGAGTAGAGAAGATGGAAACAAGAAAAAAACCGCATCGCAAGTCCCTCAGAAACGTACTGTCCCACGACCGAGTTGCTGACACCCAACATCAGCTGAAACAGTATCCGAGACACTTCGTGGCGGTACCTGCAAGACCTGACAGGTCAGAAGAAAGTGGTGGACCGCTCGCGCGTTCAGTAACTGCTGAATGTTGAACACCTGGTGGGGGTGCTCTGCCCGGACCAGGACCTCCAGCGCCGCCAGCAGGACTCCCCAGACACCTGGCTGAGGAGACAAACGCCAGGTTAGTGGCTACTGCGTAGCCCTATGGCCTGCTTTGTAGAAGACACGCTGGAGCGATTTGCATTACTGCACATTCGGTGTCAAAGACCAAGCTTGTCTGAAGAAGGCAAGTCTAACATTTATTTCTCAGTTCTCGTGGCGGCCAGGGCAGCCCACACCGACGCCCACGTGACGCTGCCCCGGGTGCTGCAGTGCACTGCCTTCGGGGCGGTGCAGCGCCAGCGGTCCCCAGTGGCGGTGTCTGATGCAGCCATCCAGGCACGCTGCCAGCGCAGGCGGAGACACTCTGTCCTCAGAGGGCTCCTCGGACACGTGCATCTCAGTGTGAGCGTGCCAGGCAGACTTTAATGAGAGAGTTTAGACAGCGCTAACTGAAAAGTCACGGGCAACATAGACACTGTGCGTTTCCAGATGGATTCACCTTCAAGTGCAAATGATAGAATTATCCGGGCAAATGCAAACTACACCTGTTCAAAAAGTAGTCAGCATCCTTTGAAGTGACCTGAAAATGCTCCCACATTGAAATCGACCTTAGATTACCCACACTAGAGTGACAGAGGTAGGTCGGCTGTATTACAGAACTGAAACTGAAAGGTAACTGTCACCTCATCTGACGGCACCAAGTGGCCTGTCAGGGGCCTGGGCTGCAGGGCTCCCACTGCTCCTGCCAGAACCGGGCCAAGGACTCGGCAGGTGGGCCACACTACCCTAAGCGGGCCGCTCCCTGGAGGGCGGGAGAGGGGCCATAGTGTGGCCACCCCCTCCTAGGCACGCTCTCTCTTTCTCCCTGTCTCTCCATCGAGCACACGTGCCCTATGGCAAACGACAACAACAATACAAGCTCATTTTGATGCAAAGCAGTTTGAGGGCCAGCTCAGTGATGAAGAGAAAAGGGTACCACACGGCTAATCAATCCTGGCCCAGGCCTGTGTGCACACATGCGTGCACCCCAAGTCCTGACAGAATGGAGAAACGGGACGAGATTTTGGCACGCCCCACCGTGGGGTGCTTCGTTCCTCCTCCTGTCCCTTTCTGGTAAGCACATGTGCCTATTTAAATTTAAAAACAAAATTAATTTTAAAAAGGGGAGGCCCACACACACTCACTCCTGGTACGCATGTCCAAGCACTTTCAGGAGCTCCTGGAGTCAGCAACAAGCCACAGGGCCAGCAGGTAGTGCTGACTGCGGCGGCCGAGTCCACGTGGCTGAGTCCGAACTCGGAGTCCCGGACTCACCCGGTGGCTGGAAAAACATGCCAGGCATGTGTGAGTGTGTGTGTGCCCCCAAATCTCTCTCCTCTATTCTCTCGCTCATGCATGCACACACACACACGAGTGTCTATCATAAGGAACAGAACAAAATGAATTTTGCATGAGAATGAGACACCAGGGCTAGGATTCAAATGGCAGTCGGACACGAGGGATCCAGCCTCCCTAACCACCAGACCACGGAGTCGGCCCAATTCATTCTTTTCTTCCGAAGAATGATTAGATGAGTATTTAAAGTCACATGACTCTATTCGCAATAGCTAAACCTCGCAGACATCCCAGAGCACCTGGATAGAAGGGTAAGCAGAACACGACCCGTCCATACAGTGGGTACGAGTCGGCCTTAAAACAAGGGAGTTCTGACCTATGCGACAATGCAGCTAACAGCTCAGGGCATTCTGCTATGGAATCGGCGGCCAGTGACCTGTGCGAGACGCTCAGCAGAATCGGAATCGGAATCGGAATGGGTCAGAAGGAAGAG